TCTCTCTCTTTCTCTCTCTCTCTCTCTCCATCTGTCCTATAGTCTTACCGTTCACCCATAACCATGTATATTCCACAAGTATGTCCACTACGTACCTCACTCTATGTCCAGTCTCCTTCACCAAGTGACCTCCTTGTTTCAGAGCACAATTCCAACGACCTGGAACTTATTCTCAGGACTGTGCAGGATGTGCAAGGAGAGAGTCTGAAAACCAACCGAAGACTGTCGGGTCTGGAAGCCAAAGTGACCAGTCTGGTAGACCGGACCCCCGGTACCCCCACACCGGTCCCCCACACCCCCAGTACCCCCACACGGGTCCCCCACACCCCCAGTACCCCCACACCGGGCCCCCACACCCCCGGTACCCCCACACCGGGCCCCCACACCCCCGGTACCAGCGAGTCCTCCGCCAAGGAAGAAATCCTAGCGGAGATTCGCAAACAATCCCAATACATGAAGGCCTATGTGGAGCTGAGCGTGAATGACGCGGAGACAGTCGTGATGTCAGAAATCACGGAAACTAAACGCGTGCTCTCCTCAAGAATAAAAAACCTGTCTAAAAGTGTACAAGCAAATAACAGGAGAAACAACAACTCAAATTCTAAAATAGGCAGACTCATCAAAATTACCGCCTTCACAAACACGAAAATAAAACAAAAATTAGGAAAATTTAAGGAGTCTATTAACGAGGCAATGGGCATATATATTTGTTCAAGTGTTCTTTTACATAGGGAGCAAACTAGCAGCAATACGTCTGTCTGTATAAGTTTGTGACCTGAGATTGTGAAATGAAAATTAACACGAAAGAGAGTTTTTAATTTATCTTACCCCCCCCCCCCCCAACCCATTTTTTCTTCCCTCCCTCTATCCCGCCTTTCCTCTGTTCCTTAATAAAAAGAACGTTACATTTTAACAAACACCAGGCTGTGAATAAGATAAGTAACATGTCAGAATGTGACAAATATCTTTTCCTGTATAAAAGCGTGCTACATTTCAACAAACACCATGCTCCTAAGATGAAGGACATATCATAACTTGACAAAAGCTCCCCCTGGAAAGAAAAAGGTGCTATATTTTTTAACAAACACCATCTTTATACCACACATGGTGAGCAGCTCGTTACAATTTGACACAATGGCTTATCTGGTTCATTTGATATTTTTTTTCTCATTTAGTGAGATTTTTTCCTTACTATACATGTTTAGTAAGTAAGGCGGTCAACTTTTAGTGTCCACTTCTCCTGGTCATAAGTTGTTGGGTTTAATTTTTATTGTTGTTGTTTTGTTTTCGTAGGAGTTTTACGGCGCTCACAACTGCATAAAGTCGTACGTATGAGCGAGCGGGACTCAAGTTGGTTGTTTTCCACATTTAGCATTTTCAGTTTTTGGTGGGAATTAATTTTGAATTGTTCACAGGTTGAAACTGAAACCTACTCTTATCTGTCTTAACAATTTAGGACCACTAAGGGATCTTTAAAGTGCACAACTTGCACAGATGATCTCCTAGATTTTTTCACCCTTATCCCAGAAGTCTAGGTTTTTCGATCTCACCTACCCTAAGTTCAAGCTCTAGGGTGTGGCTGAAAGACAGCAGTAAGAAGCCAGGAGTAGCAGTAGAAAGAGTCAGGAGCCTAGAGGAGAGGGGGGAGGGGGGGATAGGCAGAAAGTGTGAATGGCAGCAGATAAAAGAACATGAGCAGGAAGAGGAAAAGAGGTGAAAGGTGAACATTTTAGAGAAGACACATTTTCTTCACTGTCAGGTTTCGAACCAGGGACCTATTGAATGAGAGGCGTTTATTGTACCAGTAGGGGGTCAAACACCATAATATTAAATTATATTGTTAGTATGATGGGAAACTGAGACAAAAAACAACACACAAACCAATCCCCCCCAAAAAAAAAACAACAACAAAACAACAACAACAAAAACCCCCCAATATTTTTAAAATGGTAAAACCCATTTCTCTTGATTTGTGTGTTCCTTTTTGACTCGTCAAGATGAAGAAGGAAAGGAGAGACAACTCTGTCAGTTCCGACGACCCAGAAAACAGCAGCAGTTGTTTCCCCTCTACCTACGTCATTGTTCTTTGACTTTGTACAAAGTCACCAGTTCAGAATCAGAATTATTTATTTTTATGATTATTATTATTATTATTATTATTATTATTATCATTATTATTATAGCTCGTCCGTCATTGTCTGACGATGACCAATATATCCACGGAGGAGACTATTTCTCCAGCGAAATAGAAGAATTTGAAGAACTAAAGGTTACGATGACTCGTGGCTTCTGCTGTGGCCGATGAGATCAATTCTGGCAGAGAAAAGTTGGCCACATTTTGAACATGTAAAAGCACTACTTCCACTGACTTATGGATGTGTGTAGCTTGTGGCTTCTTTCTCTCTTGGTTTCAGCATTTCTTATTGCGTGAAGCCTCATATGATTTGCTGCCCTCTGTGACTGCTGCTCTCCAGCTGGGTCTGTCAGGAGCAAGGCTCTCCCATGTCGAATCAGATACGTCTCACAAAATGGCGGTGTTCTCGAGGAGATGTGGGACAACTTGTCATCT